GGGATTACTGGCTGATCAGGAGAGAATTTCTCCTTACAATATCAATATATTACTGAGCAGACAAGTGATAAGAAATTAAGAAAAATATCAATCAGGGGATTACTGGCTGATCCAAAACCAAATTCTCTGAAGTGAGAAGTGTATGGAAAAAGACAGGATAGTTCATAATGAGATCTTGGGAATGAAAGGATTACAAAAGATCTTCAATGATATTTGTCTGAAAATTTGCTCTTTGATCAGATGAAAAATAAATGTAGGTTTTCTTGGATTGATTTCAGTCAGGTTATAACTTTACCTTGTATTGCTGCAGTTATGACCAACTGTTGCAAACTGTTTATTTCTGTTTGTGCAGAAAAAGGTTGAGAATATTTTAAGAAAAAACCTGTTAAATATTATTTTCATAAACTGCATTTTGTTAGCATGGAGCATGAAGCAAATAATATGAAAATTTCCTTACACTCTTGATTAGAAACAATCATTTCCCAGAAGGAAGCTAATGTTTTGACTTTCATTACAAAATTAAAAGCATGCTAAAACGAAGAGGTCCTCCTCTATGATATTGTACAGTTGTAGTAAAATCGTAAGATAGAGATATTAAGTAGCCAATCATTTTGCCAATCGATATGCCAGAAATAAAAACAGTTGCTTGAAATGTGTCACCATGCACATTTTTAGTCTCTTGTCATTGAAACAAGTGGAAGAAATTTGGAAGATTTGTGTGGCAGAAATATGCTTCAGCCTCCTGTCATGCTCTAAAAATTTTCAAATCTTTGCCTTCTACTTTAAAAGGTTTTCAAACCACTATTAAATTTCTGGAACATTGTCAATTTTCATTTTTATTTCCTTGATGAGTTTAGTAAAATGAAAACAACTCATTAATCTTGAAACTGATTTTTGTAGGACTCAGTAATCACTAAACTAAATTACTTAATTCGTAGGTTTTCAAATAGTGATAAATCTTGACCTCCACTCTGGAAATTTTCACTTTTATTAGCTAAATTAAAAAATGATTTTTTCACAAGTTACTGAAGCAAAGAGTTAATCAATTACTAGTCATATGAAAAATTTTTGCATATAGCTGATTTGTGAAATTCACTCTCAAGTGATACTAGTACTCATACTGGTACTCATACTCATAAATTTAGACACATACACATGTTAACTTAGCTCTTGTAACTATGGTATGATCTAGGTTCAGTCTTAATTTGGGTTTCACACTAGTTTCAGGTGAAGATTATATATATATATGTGAAATTTACCATGTGAAAAGCAGGTGATCAAAGTGTTTTGGAGGCATAAAAGTGTTGCCCCTTTCTTTTTTACATGCTCTGGACCAGCTCTTAATCTTTGTCTTCTTCTTTAGAAGGTTTTCAAACCAATGTTAAATTTCTTAAACATTGTCAATTTGTATTTCCTTGATGAGTTTAGTAAAATGGAAACAATTTGTTGATTTGAAAACTGATTTTTTTAGTGTTCAGTAATAACTCATTTCATCAGATGTCACACACCTCTCATCACTATACTAAATTACTTAATTCTTAGGTTTTCAAATAGTGATAAACCTCCACCTTCACTTTGAAAATTTTCACTTTAGCTAAATTAAAAAATGATTTTTCCAAAAGTTACTGAAGCAAAGAGTTAATCAATTGCTAGTCATATGAAAAATTTTTGCATATGGCTGATTTGTGAAATTCACTCTCAAGTGGTACTTAATTTTAAGTTTCTCCCTTTAATTTAGATGTTAAGAGGGAATTTCATTAAATTTAGATCTTCAATGATATTTGTCTGAAAATTTGCACTGTGATCAGATAGAAAATAATTGTGGGTTTTCTTGGATTGATTTCAGTAAGGTTATAACTTTACCTAGTATCAATCTCATGACCAACTGTTGCTAACTGCCAATTTCTGTTCGTACAGAAAAGGGTTGAGAATATTTTAGAAAAGAACCTGTTTTATACTATTTTCATATGAATTCAAAAAATTGTTGCAAGTGGCTGATTTGTGAAATTCACACTCAGATGGTACTTAATAAGTTTCTCCCTTCAATTTGGATGTTAAGAAGGAATTTCTGCTAAAGGGCATCTCATCATGAGGAATGCAGTTTGCAGGGTTACCCCCACCCTACCAATACCTTGTGGAAATTTCTCAAGCTTACCAAACTAATTTAACCCTTTCACTCCCACAAGTGACCAAGACAGAATTTCTCCAAACAATATCAAAACAATACAAAGGAGACAAGTGATGAGAATAAAGAAACTATTAGTATGATGATAATTAGTTGACCCAACACCAAATTCTTAGAAATAAAATAATAAGAGATGTAAAGCAGACAGTTAGATAATTGCTGTTAAGATCTAGAGAGTGACAATGTGTCATAGTATTATGTATGTCCCAACACTCATATGTGCAATTCCATGTTACAGACATTACATTCAGAGACCACTTTTTTGAAAACTTATTTCCTTAACAAACTTATTTTGCACAGTTTTAAATTTATAATTTGTACAAACATTCCTCACATGGTACTTGACTATCAGCAGAAAAGAAACTTTCCTTTCTTTAAAAAGGGTTGCCAACATTTTTGTGTATAACTCTGTTAGAGACATTACAAAAAAATAAACCTACAATTGTAGGTTAAGAAACATATCAATCAGGGGATTATTGGCTGATCCAATATCGAATTCTCTAAACTAAAATCATAAGAACTGTATGGAGAAAGATGGGAGGGTTCATAATGAGAGCTTGGGAATGAAAGGGTTACAAAAGTCATTAAATCTAGATCTTCAATGATATTTGTCTTAAAATTTGCACTTTGATCAGATGAAAAATAATTGTAGGTTTTCTTGGATTGATTCCAGTCAGGTTTTAACTTTACCTAGTATCACTCTTATGACCAACTGTTGCAAACCACTAATTTCTGTTTGTACAGAAAAAGCTTAAGAATATTTTAGAAAAAAACCTGTATTCCAAATTAATTTCCAGAAGGAAACTAATGTTTTGACTTTTCGTTACAAAATAAAAAGGATGCCAAACCATGTAATCACCTTTCTCTCTCAACCAACAAGGGGAAACACATTTACACAGCAATATTGAACAGAGAAGTGACTTTTCTCTTCCTTGACACAAGTTTCTCACAAATTATAACACAAGATATATTATTACCTTCAGATTTATTACGTGTGTCAATTAAGAGTAAAAGAAAAAATAAAAGGGAAATTAAAATGGTGATAAAATTCTAAATTAGGGTTTAGTAACCTGAAGAAATGCATATTACTCAAATATCAAGACACAATGACATGTATCCCTATCTAAAGGGAAATTTCTTTTTTCTTACAAAAATTTTTAAGTCAATTTCTGCCAGACTTGAGAGATATTTTGGATTTTAAAAGAGATTTAACAATTTTATTGTCTGCTGCACACAAAAATAAAAAAAATAGCATGGTTCACAGGTAAAACCTTCAAACAAATTTAATATTTATTCAAGGGGTCTCTTAGAAAGGCATTTCCTACAAACACATCACACTTATGATTCATCACACTCTGGCACATGCTTAAAAACAATAATTCCATTGTTTACAGCAATGTTAAATTTGAAGTCATATTTGACATATAACCCATCAACATGGAGAGGATACACCAAGGATCTGAAGAAGGGGATATACTCATATCACTGGGCTGTACACATTCCACTTTTCACTGCTATTTCAACAATCTTCTTTAACTGTCATTTTGAAATATAAATGGTTGTCCTCAGGCTCGGCTCCACCAGGAGACTGATGACATACACACTAGTTGTTTTCATGGTTTTCAGGATGAACTCAAAGAATCTACTCCTTCGAGAAGTCTAGTTTCCTGAAATAGAGCACTTTCTCTTTTCAACATTGACAAGGGAAGAAGGCTACCCCCACCCTCTCCCCCAACCAAACAAACCAGTCACCTCATATCAAAACAACTTTTCATGAAAGCCAGTCTTGTACACAATCTTTCATCCATGTACGATCACTTTCCATTGTTACTCCTAGCTCCAAAGTTTTCAGAGTGGCATCAAGAGCTTAAAACATTATTTTCTTTCTCAGTAGAGCGTTTGTCTTTGAACAGGCGAGTTTCCTTAACGATCCTTACGTCTATAATTATAACACCATAAGCGCATGACTTTAGCCGATTCAATAAAACTAATTCAATGACAAGATCTTCTTTTCTACTACCAAATGGTCAACAAACTAATCTCATTCTACTTACAATTTCTTTCTTGGACATCTTTTAGGGCTTACGTTCCGAAGTTCGATGCTATTTGACACCAGCACATGGTCGCTATGACCTTGGGGTCGCAGGGACCAGGGACACAATTGCGTTTCCAGGGTCCTCTCTCTCTTCCTCCCTCGAGGAAAAGAGAGGACCCTGGAAACGAGGTCGGCTAG